GAAAGGCGACAAGAGAGTTGCGAGAGGGACGTTCCCAGGACAAACGCTGGGGACAGTAATGAGTCAAGCGGGTGAACAACTCTCAGCTAAAGCTAACAATCGTAACCTCGTTGTAATTGCGGGAGGGCTAAATGACGTCCTGAAAAAAGAATCGTCAGGACTAGCGACGACCTTGGCGAAAGGGGTGGATGACATGCGCACCGTGTCCCCCCAGGTGCAAATTGTAGTATGCACAGTACCGGAAGTACCAGTACGCAACGTCAACCTGCAAAGAGCGGTAGTCGACGCAAACAAAGAGATATGGCGAATTAGTCGAGAGAAGGGGTTCGAGGTAGTGGATTTAAACAGGGAAGTGCACAGGTGGGGTGGATTCCAAAGAGACAAGATTCATTTCGATAAGAGGCTTGGACACGAGGTGGGCTGGCGACTGGCAGGACGCGCAGTAGCTTTTTTGGGGGGCTCACGGGCCCTTCGGAGTCCGGGGTAGCTCGTAACAGGGAAAACAACCAGGAGGACGCTTTGACAGGTAGAATTGCGAAAAACCAGGAAAAAGGTAAAAGAAAAAGGAAAAAGGCGCGTGTTGCAATTAGTTACATAAACATGCAGGGTGGCAGAAAGAAGGCAAAATGGTTAGAGATTGAGGAGCAGTTAAACAAAGAACAGATAGGCGTGTATGCGGTTACAGAAACACACCTTAGAGACTTGGAAGAGCCACCACATATTAAAAATTATGTTTGGGAAGGGTGTAACAGGACCATATCGGAAAAGAAAGGTGGGGGTGTAGGAATGCTAATTCACCGCCGAGCCAAATGGGTTAGAGTGAAACAGACGTGTTCAGAGCACCTCTGGGTTCTGGGCACAGTAGGTGGAAAGGAAACGTGGCTAGGGGTAGCCTACTTGTGGACGGGGAATAACTGCAGAGAAAAGAATCAGGAGATAGTGGATTGCATGAGTGCGGATATTAAGGAATTTGGTAATGGGGCCGAAATAATCCTTCTAGGGGACATGAATGCCCACATACATGACCTTGACGGATATTCAGACACCAATGGGAAGTTATTACTAGATCTTTGCGAGCAACATAGTCTGGAGATAGTTAACACGGGGCCTAAATGTGACGGCCAGATCACATGGGAAGTCGGAAACAAGCAATCAAGTATTGATTATTGTCTCATGACTGAAGGAATTTACCACAAACTGACAGAAATGAGGATTGATGAGGAAGGCATTAACAGCTTGGGTAGTGATCATAAACGAATAACATTACAAATGGGATACGAAACTAAAAATATGAGCATGGAATCAAAGTCTGGCAGCTCGTATTTAAATGACAAACAAATAATAAATATAGCCGCAAGAGTCGAGGAAGAAGTAGGCGAAATACCAGGCAAGGACTGGGAGTATAGGGAGCTGTTACATCTAATGACGAAGGAGATAGGGAAAGAGAAGAAAACCGTTTGCTGGAAAGGAAAAAGGAAGCCAAAAAGTTGGTGGAACAAGGAAATCCGGGAGGCGATCGAGAAGCGACGCGAAGCATCACGGGAGCATAGAAAGGCAAAAAAGGAGAAGCGGCCGCAGGACGAAGTCAAAAAAATATGGGAAATATATTTGGAGAAAAAATCCCTTGTACAGAAATTGGTAGAGGCAAAAATTAAAGGTGAAAGTGAACGCTGGATGACAGAGATACACGAAAAAAAGGAGGCCGCGCCTAGGATTTTTTGGAGCCACATAAAGGCGCTAGGTAGGAAGTCTGTCACAACGCAACAACATATTCTAGATGAAGGAGGAAATCAATTGGAAGGGTACGAAGCGCTAGGTTACATCCAAAAGGTAACAGCCGATTCGTTTCAAAAGAGCGTCCAGGGGATCTCCCCGGTGAGTAAAAGGGTGGCGGAGAAAGCAACAGAGGAAGAGCTAGTACTAGATAATTTCAACTGGAAAAAGGCCGAAGGAAAAATTCCAAAGCGCACTGCCGCGGGTTTAGATGGGATTCCCGTTAGCCTCATTAACGAACTAGGACATAACACTAAAGAAGCATTGTTAAAAGCAGTAGAAAAAAGCTTAAAGGACGGACAAATACCGGACAGTTGGCGACAAAGTAGAATGAACTTAATCTATAAAGGCAAGGGAGAAAAGGACAAGATTCGCTCGTATAGACCACTAACCATTACATCGGTACTATGCAGGTTGGCGATGCAAGCAGTAAAAATGAAAATAGAAACATGGGCCGAACATAACGATATTTTGGGAGAACTTCAGAACGGATTTCGAGTCGACAGGCGGTTAGACGATAACCTGTTTGTTCTCACTCAGTGTATAGAAATATCTAAAATAGAGAATAGGCCCTTGTACGTGGCTTTTCTAGACATCACTGGGGCATACGACAACGTTAATCAGGAAATTTTGTGGGATATATTGAAAGGAATGGGCATGGGCGACGACTGTATACAGCTTTTGAGGGAGATATACCGAGAAAATACAGTTTGCATAGAGTGGGAAGGAATGCGTAGCAAAGAGAACGTTGAGGTTAGCAGGGGTCTGAGACAGGGATGTCCTTTGTCCCCACTGTTATTCATGCTGTACATGGTGAGTATGGAAAAAGCGCTAGAAGGTAGCAACATTGGTTTTAATCTGTCACACAAACAGGGCGGCATGATGATTGAGCAGAAGCTTCCAGGTTTATTTTATGCGGACGATATCGTCTTATTTGCGGACAGTCGAGATGATATACAGCAGCTGGCGAATATATGCGGAAGGGAAGGTGAAGCTCTTGGACTAGGATTCAGTGTAACGAAGTGTGGTTTGATGGTATTTAATGATCCCTGTGATCAGACGGTGTCCATACAAGGCCAAGAAATACCGAGGGTAAGTGAATACAAGTACCTTGGAGTATGGGTAAATGAGAGTGATAGATACATGGAGGTACAGGAAAAAGCCTCGGCAGCAAAAGGAAAGAGGAATGCGGCAATAATGAAGCACAGAGCGTTGTGGGGATACAATAGGTATGAGGTGCTTCGAGGTCTGTGGAAGGGTGTAATGGTTCCAGGGCTTACTTTTGGGAACTCAGTGGTGTGCATGAGGGCAGAGGTGCAATCGGGAATGGATGTAAATCAAAGGACTGTGGGACGCCTCGCGTTGGGTGCTCACGGGAAGACGACAAACGAGGCTGTAAAGGGCGATATGGGGTGGGCAGGTTTTGAGGCGAGGGAAGCGCAGAGCAAAATAAGGTTCGAAGAAAGGCTAAGAAATATGAAGGAGAGTAGATCGGCAGAGAAGGTGTTCCGTTATTTGTATAGGAAGAGCGTCGACACACAGTGGAGAAAAAGAACTAGAAGACTCACTAGTAAATATACGGCTGGTATTGTGAGCCATATGTCAACAAAGAGCGTTAAGGGAAAAGTCAGGGAGGCGGAGAGGATTTACTGGATGGCAGCTATGGAGAAAAAACCGGCTTTGAGTAACTACCGAAAGGGCAAAAATGAAATAAGGAGGGAGGCATTTTACGATAATTCAAGGGGAAGCGCTTTACTGTTTGAAGCGAGATCGGGTTGCCTTAGAACGCGTAGTTATAAAGCAAGATTCAGTAAAGAAGAAGAACAATGCACATGCTGCGGGAAAGATAAGGAAACGGCGGAGCATGTTCTGATTGAATGTGGAGATATCCACCCAGGTGTACGTTTGGGCACGAGCCTACAGGAAGCCTTGGGTTTTAGGGACAACAATGGAAAGCTGAACACACCCGCGATTGAAATAAGTAAGAGACGGTTAGAGTATTGGTGGCAGAAAATTAGAGAGAAAGGACAAAAATAAATATTGGAAAAATAAAATATGGACAGTGTGCCGTAAATGGCAGAGAACTTAAGCTGAAAATTTACCTTTTTTCCATTAAGATAGAATTTATCGAAGTAGAGGCATTAGGCCAACATAAAAAAAAAGGAAAAAAGGTTTTTTTTTTTTTTTTGTCGAGCCTGGTGGCATACTTGTCACCACCCCGTTATAAAGGGGACGCTCATAGCATCCATCCATCCATCCTTAGAAATAATATGACTAGATGGTGTTAGTGGTTTTCACAGCATATCCACGGAGTGAATGATGATGAGTGGGGCGAAGCGTCCGTCCGTCCGTGCTTCTGTCCGTCCATGCTTTCATCCATCCGTCCGTCCGTGCGTATGGACGGACAGACAGATGGACGCATCGCCCCACTTATCACCATTTCGTGATCTTTAGAAGTAAAGCATATAGGTTTATTGGTGTCATTATTGCAGCATCTTGTGCATGATTCTAGTCTTAACTGTTGTTAGGTGAAGCAACCGTTATCTTCAGTTTTGTACATCGCCTTGATGTGATATTCAGTCACTCTCCCAACAACTTACAGATAGACTAGTGACATATAGACTAGTTTAGAGGTCACCATGTGAAGGCGTTGAACGGCGTGAAATGTAGACGCACAGAAGAAGGCACTAACACAAGCTTCCACTCGCTTGTATTCAGTTCCTCTGAAATGAACTTCAGTTGCGCTTGCGTTCGTGGCTTCCCCATCTGCGTGCCTATTATCGTACTGCTCGGTCGCGGGATCGAATCCCGGCTGCGGCGGCTGCATTTTCGATGCAGGCTAAAATGCTGTAGGCACGTGTGCTCAGATTTGGGTGCACCTTAAAGAACCCAAGGTGGTCGAAATTTCCGGAGCCCTCCACTACGCCGTCTCTCATAACCATATGGTGGCTTTGTGACGTTAAAATACCATATATCAATCATCAATCCCATCGTACTGCTCAGCACGCTAAGATGAACAACTGAATCGAGATAATATATCCAGCCAAAAAATGAGCGTACACAGGTTTTCTGTGTACGTACATTTTCGGGCTGGATATATTTTCGTTATGCAGTGCACCAACTATAGCCCAACAATGATCGTTATGAACAACTGAGAGGAACAGCCTCTCACAGCGTGCGTCGCACTTGATTCACTCTGCCGCTTGGTTTTTTCTTCCTTCTCTCAGGCCCGGTGTTCGGAGAAAGGTCAGGCCTACGGGCGCGAGGTGAACTCCTTCGGTCGCCGGCGTCGCCGCTGGACCGAGGAAGGCGCCGCGGACGTGGACGGCGACCGTCGTTCTCGTCGATCGACGGTTGCCGGTGGCGACGACGACGAAGACGACGAGCTCGTCGTCGTCCAGACAATCCACATCACGGACAAGTTCGGCTTCGCCAGGTCGCAGCTCAAGGACGGCGAGAACGGCGTGGACGGCTCCTCGAAGCAGGACACCAGTGAGTGCCAGTGCCCATCTCTTGTCGGCCCGCATGCGTGGCCTTCACTCACGCCGTCGCGGTTGCGAGCAGCGCTGGCCAACACTCCCCAAATTATGTGCGCAAAGACATGCATGCGAAATGAAGTAGAATTGAAAGAGGCCGCCGCTGTAGCTACAATAATAGGGCGTTGGAGGCATTATTCCAAAGTTGTAATCTTTGTTTTTAAGTTCGAGAAGTTGATTTAAGCCGTGTTCACAGTGGGAAGTGAAGAGAAAACGAAAACGCCAAAGCGGCCGTAAGGGCCGAACCTCATAAGCGCGAAAATGCACGCGACAGCGACGAGCCACGCTATGAGCTACGAAACAGGGCGTTCGCGCGACGTGTCACGTGCTCGTTTTCGCGCGATCGCTCGGTTCTCCAGATTTGGAAACCGTCGCTCATCGCCCGGAAGTGCTGGGCTCAAGCAGCCAATAGCGAAAAACCGGAAAAGACGAAGACTACATAGGTGCACGTGACCCTGCCCGATTCACGTATGCGCAACAAGAAATAACGCAATGTTTATTACGCATGTGCATATAAAAAAGTGCTGCAAGGCAATAATAAACTCTTTTCGTTTCATTACACAACAATATATCTTATTTTTAAATTGCATACCGCGCGCTACGCGGTTTTCTTGGTGCGAGTAGACGGCCTCATGCCAGCAACAGTGGAATTCGCTCGCCGAAGCTGTCGCGTGAATGAGGTTTGCCTGCGCTAGCGACTGATCGCGTGAAGCCGATCTACGTCGCGTCGCTTGTCGCTGTCGCGTGCTTTTTCGCGCTTATGAGGTTTGGGCTTAAAACCACGACCGCGCGCGTCAATGTTGTTCGCATTCGTTCTGCCCCATCCTCCCCGCCGCTTGAAAAATGGAATTGCTGCACAAATTTGAAGAAAAACAAGGGAAACGGGAAAGAGCGCAGACTACCGGCTGTTTATTGTCGTTTCTTGAAGCCAATATATACGCATGCTTCGAGAAACGACCATAAACAGTTGGTGGGTGGTCTGCGCTCTTTCCTGTCTCCCTTGTTTTCCTTCAAGTTTGTGCAGCAATTCAATTTTTCAAGTATGAACCAACTAGTCTGCTAAAAAAGTATTGCTTCCCCCGCCGCTGCCGTCGCTATCTATACAATTCAATTTTGCTTGCTTTCTGAGAGCTAAAGCTCGTATTCTTCTAATTGACACAAAGTAGTGTAAAGAAACAGGTTGCACTTTTTCAAACGTTGTTTTGGAAGACGTACGTCAGCAGTAACTACACGAGCGAACGCACAGGCAGCGGTGCCGTGGGTTTCAACCGGATGTACACAAAAGCGATGCATGTTGGGGCACGCCGACTCGCTTCCGCTGCACCGTCTAAATTCAGAGTTCTCAGCGATAGTAATCCAAACCAGGCTCTCGAAGAACGCACCCTCTTTGAGGCCGTCAAGCTTCGTCGTGCTGCTCGGGTATAGTTCGCGATTCGGGCCGATGCGAGCCACCGCCGATGCCTTTACCGCCATGTTGAATGTGTGGCCGGTTGGTTAGGTCACGTGGTTCGATCTAGCGCAGTTACAGTGGCGCGGCCAAGGCCATGAAGCGGAAACCGGATCCGGTTTCGCGTGGCGGGAAAATTGGTCTCGGATCTATTTTCATGCGCCGGCCGCATGACGTGGTTTTTTGGCCGCTTGGGCGGCGAAACGAGCCAGTTTCCGGAGAGTTTCGCCGGTTTCGCCCTTTTCGAGGCAAATTGTGAAACGCGCCTTTAGGGATGGAGCACCTTAGGGTGTCGGCTTGTCTGCGTACCGTGTCGTCGTCACGGTCCGTCATACCTACACAAGTGTGTATAAGCGTGGGCAAGTTTTCCGTTCGGGGGGGGGGGGGGGGGATTCGTCGCAGCATTCCTCCATATATGTCAATGTATATGGCTGACTTGGCGCATGACCCCACCCAACGCCGACTAAATTTCAAGGCCGAAAGGCTGCCACAGTGACGTCAGAGGTTGGGGGCCCTGTTGCCCAACTGAGCATGCTCAGTAAGACTTTTTTTTCCACATCTTTTATTCGGCCCAATCAAGCCGCAGCAGCTGCGAGAGTGGGAGCGTTGGTTCTCCTAAAACGTGAACGAAACACAAGCTTTCCGCCGCGTTCGCGGCGTAACAGGGCCCCCAACCTGTGACGTCACTGCGGCAGCCTTTCGGCCTTGAAATTTAGTCGGCGTTGCCCCACCCCAACCCTACACCCCGAGTCTAAGCGCCCCCTTTCTATTTTATGCCAATGTATTGGGTCGACTATTGCAGGCCCCCTCTAGGGTTACCAGGGGGACGGCTGCTCCCTTCCTGCATACACCTGTGCAAGTATACGCAACAAAAATTGGGCCAATCCCCATACTCATCACGATATTATTAGTTAAAGGTTCGTCGTTGCTGCTAAAAAGTGTTTGCTTATCTTCGCTGTGCGGTGTCTGAATACGCGACGAAATACCAAGGCACTCAAGTTTCTTATCAAAAACTAGATACGCAAACGTTGATCTCTACGGTGAAGTCACCTATTTAAAACACCACATCTGCCAAGAGATAACGCTTCACTCGCCGCTCGTTCACTAACTCCCATAGTAGAGTACCTAGTACTCTACTATGGGAGTACTAGGTACTCCCATAGTAGAGTTACCCACTTATTCTAAAAAAAAACATTGAAGCGGGCTTAGCAACAAATTGCCGATGACGCTAATTGATGAAACACCCTTCTCTGCATGCCGTATGGAATTCAAACCGGTCATGTAGGGAAGAAGAGGCACATTTGAATAAGCTGTATTCCGGCGCAGTTTTCCTGCGACGTTAGTGGGGCTGCCTTCCCTACATGCTCGGTTTCCAGGTTCAGGCTTGGCACCAGTTGGACGTTACTGAAGAAATCCATCTCAATACAATGTGGCGAATTACTTCGGTAAAGCCCTGCTACTGCGGCAGAGGCGGGCTTGTGCGAACGCCTCTGTCTTGTAGTGCAGACCCTTGCGCATCAGTAAATTCACAGTTCTTTTCCCCTAACATTTTTTTCTCGTATTTCTATCCCCTTCCTCAATCTCCCTGCATAACCAACCGGGATCTTCTTTTCGTTAACATCCTCGCTTTCTGTGTTTTGGTTACCTTACTATACTTTCCTTCCTTTCTTAGAGCTACTCAGCCGTAAGCTACCCTGATCATTCCGTGCGCCAAAACATAAAGGCTGCTGTTAAATACAAGTCACTCTCGGCCATGCACTTTCGTTCATTATGCTGACTTCCGCTTTTCCACTTCCTGTCACAGGATTCGCTTTTAGATTCCACTTTCTGTTTTAACTTGAATTTTTCGTTGACAGCCGGTGACAGCCTTTCAGTGACAGCCTGCTAAGGGGTGCTTCTGAAACGAGTTCAATCGGAAATGATCTTCTACGTGAACAATGGGAATGTGCGAGGGAGCTTTGTGTATGCACATTCCAACAGCGCATGTCGGATTTGCATTTATTTTGTTGTTGGGTGTTTCTGCTGACGTTACCGAATGAAACGTTGGAGCAACTGTGTTGCGGAATCAGCCAAATATGGTAATTCAGCTGGCCCGCGTTGTGTCGCAACGCTCGACATATGCGGCTACTAAATATGCACGGTTAAGCGCGGATACTCTGAGTACCGGAAACATATAGAAAGATAAAAAAGTGACGTCGCAAGAATGCTATAAGCGACAAGCACGAAGATCAGACATCGATGCTGTCCGACATGGTGGTTTAGTGGATAAAGTACTTGACTGCTGACCCGCAGGTCGCGGGATCGAATTCCGGCGGCGGTGGCTGCATTTTCGATGGAGGCGAAAATGCTGTAGACCCGTGTGCTCAGATTTGGGTGCACGCTAGTTACGTTCCGTTTGGTTCTTTCCACTCGCCTCTCGCTTGTTGAGCGACATTTGCTGCTGCCGCTAAGGAAGCCGAAGACGAGAACTTTTCATCTGCTGGCACCTTGAGGAAATGACCGCTCCGACATCATCTGGATATAGAGACGTTTATTCGTTTCTCCTTCTTTCCTCACTGTCCCTGCATCCCTGGTTTTATCCCCTGTTTCCCCATTCAACCACTCTTACAGTCCAATCGTAACGCACCACTCTTATAGTCCAATCAAAACGCACAGATGTGTCTCTCCTCACCACAACCTCGAAGACCCACCGCCTCTTGCCCACTCATCGGTTCTCCGCCGTCGCTCAGGTTTCTTTCACACCGGTTCCCGGAATGGTCGACGACGGGCGTTGCCAGGTCGTGGAAAAGCGCCTCCGAGTAAGATCCCGCGATGCCGGGTGGACAGGCCATCAATACAATTGGCCCCTGCGCCAATGCCGTCGCCTCTGCTGATTATGATTGTCCGGCGGACGCGTACGTGTACCTTCCACGTGTACCTTCCACGTGCACCGGCCACCTGCAGCCTGGCTTGGTCTCCTGTAAGGCGCCATAATTGAGCCCGACAGCGGCACGGGAGTTGTCGCGTCCTTTGTGGCCAGCAGACAGTCATCGTCCCGCATTCCAGTGGCCCTGCTTCCTTGTTGGCGGAGGGTCGCCGGCCGCTGGGTGGGTAACATAAGGTGTTCGGGGAACGCACGAAGTTCGACCCCAACAACGCTAAAGAACCCGAAGTGGTCGAAATTTCCGGAGCCCTCCACTACGGAGTCTCTTACACTCATATGGTGGTTTTTGGGGCGTTAAACCACACAAATCGATCAAATAATGCGACATCAATGCTCTTAACCGTAATTTTCAATCACGGTAATGACGGACGATTTCATGCCACCGTGCAGGGGCGGCGCCAGGGGGGGGGGGGGCAAGGGTGGGCTGGAGCCCCCCCAAAATTCTCGCCTGCCCCCCCTACGCCCACCCAAGTGCCCGGAAGCATATATTGAAAACCTAGTAGGAGCAGAGCTAGCTTGCCCCCCCCCCCCCCCAAAGGAACTCACTTTTCGTGATTGCCCCCCCCCCCCAGTAAAAACATCCTGG